ACTGAGTAAAAGGACACTGGCAATAGGAATTGATATCTAGAATATACAAGTAATTTCTGCAAGTCTATGAGAAAATGATAGGGGACCTAATAGTTAAATCAGCAAAGTAAGCTATTAAATAATAGATGATTCCCAGGGCAGGTCACCCAAATAACTAATAATTAAATAAAGAGATACTCCTAGGCATATAAGTCCCAAATACTCATACTCCTATACAAAGGGGACATGTAAAAAGATGTCTACTGTAGCAAAAGTTGGAATCAATCTAATTGTGTCTGCCAATAGGGGAATGGGTGCATCCTCTGTAGCACTAGACAGTAATTATGAGCACTTACCTAGATGTACATGCAGCTACATGGAAATGTCTTAAAATCATAGTGTACTATGAAAATAGTTTAAAACTCAATAAGATTTGCAACACAATGCTATTCAGATAAATTAAAAATGTGTATTTATTCAAAGAACATCACATTTTTTAAGAATAAATATGTATCCAAGTCATATACCAAATTAAGTGAATGCCCATTATTTGTGTGGGTGCCTATGAGTGGGTAGGGGGAAGGGTTATTGAGAATTAGAATGAGCATCAAAGATGAACATAAAAGCAACAGGAAATTTGGTGACCACTTCTTAACATTCTTGACTTTAATATGTATTTCTATTTATTTATTTTTTGGTTTTTGTTTTTACCCCTAAGGAAAAAGGTTTGAGTTAATATGTATTTTTAAAATTTTCTGATTTACTCTTCTTGCTATAGACTTTACAGTTATAGAAAAGCCTATCCCTTTAAGTACACAATTTGTGATTTTGGGCATTTTAACCTACAAATAAAATTTCATGGTGAAAACAATCAGAAATGTCATGAAAGAAGAAATTTTCATTTAATCCCTCCAAATTGCCACCAACCATCTCTGTAGAAGAAGGATATGACAGACCAAAAGATATCCACATCAAATTCCTGGAACCTGTGAGTGTCACCTTATTTGGAAAAAGGAGTTTTGCAGATGTGATTAAATTAAGGATCTTGAGATAAGGGGATCATCCTGTATTATCTGGGTGGGCCCTAAATCCAATGGCAAGTGTCCTTGGAATGAAAAGAGCCACAAGCCAATGAACACCAAATAATGTCGGTTGTCACTGGAAGCTTAAAGAGACATGAAACAAGATTCTCCCCTAGAGTCTCTGTAGGACATGCAGCTCTGCTGATTTCAGAGTTATGGCCTCCAGAACTATACGTTTCTATTGTTTTAATCCACTAAATTTGTGGCAATTTGTTACAGCAGCTTTGGGAAACCAGTACAGAGGGTTATGTATGAAGTTATTTTCTCAAGATTTTAGGGCTTCTTACATAAGAGACATTGATACCTATTGTGAAAAATTTCTTAACTATGTAAGTGGTCTTTCTTCTCCCCCTTGATTTCAAAATTTTTCCCCAGCTTATTGAATGGGAAATACTTCATACTGCACAGTTTGGCTTCAGGATATTTCTTAGCAGAGAAATAAACTCACAATTTTAGGTTTCATATGTTCTGTTGTCAATGAACAAATGGGCATGGGCATATTCACTGAGTAAAAAATTTCCCAATATGGGATATTTTAAAAGATTTTTTATAATTTTATAATTACAGTGTAATAATATACTCATAATGAAGGATTTTAGAATTGCCACATTTATTATATATATGTATATGAGATGCTTAAATATAGGTTTATTTTTTAATTTTGGTTAGGGAATATGGATCTGAATAGTTGAAACCTTTATAGTTGATAGTTTTTTTAAAAAGTAAATAGGGAGAACAATTTTCTTAGGATAGTTTATGGAAAAGTATTAATATGTTGATGTGATACTTTGTAGAGGCTTAAGCGCAAGTGTTTGCATTTAAATGTAGTCATAGAAGACATTAGAACTTAAAAACTACCTTACAGCTTGTTCTATTCCTTATTACAGTAGATAAGAAAAACTGAGATCCAAAGAGGATTAAATTATTTGATCTTTTTCTTCCAAGTTTTCCTTTCAGTCTAGTTCTTTACCATACTGACTTAATTTGGTTGTCTTTGGGGCAGTTCTTCAAATTGTTGTAGCAGAGAAAAGCAGCTAGTGTTGTGTTTTGGTGACCTGGCAAGTGGTGTGTAGGAGGCATTGAAGACAAGCTCATAATTAGAGTTTGGCTACACTTAACACTTTTTATACTATATAGCAATCTGGATGTAGGGTATTTCTAAGATTTATTAGCAAAAGAACCTAATGAAGGATCCCAATCCATTCAGTCTTCCCTCTTTCCCTCTTTCCTTTCTTCTTAGCTTCTTTCTCTCAGCCATCTTCAGATCTTTTGGCTAGCATCACTTCCTTATACAGTCATTTTCAGGGGCAGAAAAAGACCTGTTTCCTTTCATGTATATCTTCTTAAGAGTAAGTAAGTCCCTGAATGAACATGTGTCATAGGTGATTGGCTAGAATTTCTTTACATGCCCAGGCTGAATGAACAAATCAGTGGAAAGAGAAGTGGAATTATCATGTCAGAATTGATTGTCAAGGAACCAGAATTAATAGTGTGAGGGGAAAGAAATGCCGCAGTAAGATTGCTAAGTTTGATACAAAATTGGATCATGTATAACCAGGCAATAAAACTGCAATCTTTGGGGGCTATATTCTTTACAGGCTGGGGGGCCAGGGGAACCAACATAGTATCATTTTTCCCTCCACCCCTTTCTGCCCATAATCAGTTTTTTTTTTTTTCTTTTTGAGACAGAGTCTCACTGTGTTGCCCGGGCTAGAGTGCCGTGCCATCATCTTAGCTCACAGCAACCTCAAACTCCTGGGCTCAAGCGATCCTCCTGCCTCAGCCTCCCGAGTAGCTGGGACTACAGGCATGCGCCACCATGCCCAGCTAATTTTTTCTATATATTTTTAGTTGTCCAATTAATTTCTTTCTAATTTTAGTAGAGACGGGGTCTCATTCTTGCTCAGGCTGGTTTCGAACTCCTGAGCTCAAACAATCCGCCCGCCTCGGCCTCCCAGAGAGCTAGGATTACAGGCGTGAGCCACCGCTCCCGGCCACCCATTCTTTTCTTTCTTGGCTTAATGCTCATAGTAGTTTCCTCTGTGACCTTGGCCCCTAAAAAGGTTTTAATTTTTACTTAAATTTATAAATAACATTTATAAATGTCGAGCCAAATCAATTTAATCTTTAGAAAGTAAGTCAACGTGCATAACGGCACCTGGCATGGTATCTGGCACATAAGTTCTTTGTAAGTATTATTTGAATATTAACATCTATAGTTCACTAAAATAAGTTGGTAGAGATGGTATCTTATTTACTGTTTTGTGTATAATGCCAAGCACAGTACCTGGAATATTGTAAGAATTAAATATTTGTTGAATAGATTTTAAGACCGGATTTATTTTAAAAATGAAGAATGCTTTATAGCAGTGTCCTTCAATTTAAAAAAAAAAGTCCATACCCTTCGCATATTTTTAAATTGACATTTAAGTTTTCCATCATAAGTTTAAATAGTTGCAAAGGATGTAGTTTCTAGTTTGCAAATATTGACATATTTAAATAAAACTGTTACATCAGTTTTGAAATGTATCCAACAGAATATAAATGCCATAGGATTTTAAATATCATCCACTTAAAAAAGACATAAATGAACTCTTCACTAACCATTATAATTTTTATATTGCTTTTTCTCCTTGAGTCTTTATTTTTATTTCTCTTCTCCCACAGAGTTTTACCCTAATGTAATATATTTTTATACTTGAAAACCTCCTACTAATCATCTTAATCATTAAAATTAAAATATTTTAAAATTTTCTTTGATTTCTGGATTGAGTCATTATTACAATTATTAATGATACACAATTGATCAAAACAGCATAAGTGTTGCAAATTCAGCAAAATTATTTTTAGGCAAAAATATAAAATGTTATTGGGAATGCATCTTTGGAATAGATATGGCAGAATGTATTTTTGGATGTTTAAGTAAAAATTTCCCTAAGTTCAATATTTTAAATTATCTGTTCATTTGGTACTTCAGAGCTTTTTATACCTGAGGGTGATGTGCCATCATAAGACTCAGGGTACCCTTTGATGGTAGATATGCTTTACTGTTATCAGGTTGGAGGGAGGACTGCAATGAAAGGGGAAGTGAGGAGGGAAACTAGTATGATGCTTCCACTAAGCACAGTATCAAGCAGATTCGTTTTACAAAGAGTATTATGGGAATCAAGGATTTCAAAATTAATTCCCATAAAACGCTATGGGCCCACCTACACCTTGGTAAATCTTTTTCTACCCTTAAGGCTACAGTTTGAAGATTGCTACCTTATAGGACAATTTGTAGAGATCATGTTAACTGGATTGTCAGAAATGCGATTATATGGACAAGATGATGGTAGTGAATGTGTGTTTTTTTCTGTCTATCTCTTCCTTTTCCATTCCAGGTGGTTAGAGCAGGAGTGTCAATCACACTACCTCATCTCCCACAGGGAGCCTGGCCTGGCCAATTATATTAATTCTGTTCCCCTGGATACAGTAATTTGTCCAGCAATAGGCATAAAAACCAAGCAGATCAATGAAAGTCTTTCCCTGAAATTGGTATATAAACACTGGGGAAGAAAATTTTTCTTTCTTTCTACTGGGAGGTGCTGAGCTGGGAGTACATGACTCTAGAGCTATTGGCAAGTGGTTGAGAATTCCTGTCTGCAGAATGAAGAAAAGCAGAGCTAAGCAAAGAGGCAGGGAGGCCAAACCAAGAGCCTCATGGGGCAACTGAATTCATTCTTGAGGGCTTGTTTCCTGCAGCTTTTCTTTTGATCCTGTGAGCTACCCCAGTATCCTTCTTAGCTACATGAGCCAGTAAATTACTCTTTTAAGTTTGTTTGAGTTGGATTTTTGTTGCTACTGAAATGATTTAATTAATAATTGAGGAATGTAAATTTAAAGTGTTGTGAATTATCTTTTGTAATATGAGTAATTTTGAAAATTTGTCTCTTCTAGATTGTTGGACCTTCAGATGGAAGTAGTTACATTATAGATTATTATGGAACCAGACTTACAAGACTGAGTATTACTAATGAAACATTTAGAAAAACGCAGTTATATCCATAAATATTTTCAAAAAGAAACAGTAAGTGGTATGTATATCTAATCTTATTATAGTAGCATATTATTCATATAAAATTATAAGAATTTTAGAACCAGAGGAAATTTTAAGAGATCATCTGGTATCATAAACCTCTTACTTTTCTTATGTGGAAACTCAGGTGTACGTATGCCTGAAACATCTCTAATCCATTGAAAAGCATTTGTATGTATGCACATTGCTCCTGCAGTTCCCAATTCAGACTCTCTGCAGTGAATATGATTAAAGGACAAAGTTCACAAGAAGAAAATAACATCAAAGCAAAAAGATATTCATTATATGATGATTATGATCAAAGTATGTGCTATAAATAATTCAATATAGCAGATATTTTCTGCTGCCCATTTCTTCGAGGGTCAATATAATCTTTAACCTCTTTTTTCTTTCTCCTTCCCTAAATCTGACAGTTGATAGAGTCTAAACCTGAACTACCTATAAGCACTTATTCTAACCTGAAGTTTGGCCTTGCCATGAGAATTGTTAATTGGCCTTAGCTTTAAATCAGTAATACACCTGCAGCAGTCAGAGGTACTGTCAGTCTTCCTGGTTAAACTCTCTGGTTCTCTGGGACTCTGCTACTATTCAACCACCATTTATTCTATTCTGATAATCTTCCAATAATGCAAAATTTTTCTCGGAAAGGATTTTGGTAGAATATCAGGAAAACAATTTCCTGGTATAATCAATTGTCTGTAATGAAGAAGTCCCATATATAGTAACATGTAGGGTGAAGAGTAGTTTTTGGGTACAGTTCACTTTGAACTATCTAGCAGCTTTCACAGAGCTGGACAGGCAGAGAGAAAGACAGGGTAGGTGTCTTGGCCACCTTCGTATTGGATTTTGAATCAACTCTATATCAGAGACTGCTTTTAGAGGTCAGGAAGGGAAAAGACATTTGTTTTTTATGTTGTCATGTATAAATAGGATGAAAAGTGCAATTTGGAGCCCTTTAGGTTGTTTGTTTTTTTTGTTTTTTTTTTTTTAACATTGCAACCTGAGGCTTTATAGGTAGATTTCTTTCTTTTCTCACAGTAAAATTATGGGATATGCCTAATAGTTATTGTCATGAGATGGAACAGTGACAGACCCCACAAGATTTGAGGAACTGATTCAGCTGGAAAAGTTTTTCTGATCTTTTCTTTTAAACTGTAAGAGTCATTGAGTTTTAAAGTTGGAATGAAGCTTAGAGATCCATCTGCCTCTTCTTCCAGGGAACATATTGAGACGTAAGGAAGTTGAGACTAAGACACACAACTAATTAGTACAGAACTGAAACTAGAATCTAGGTCTTCTATACATTCTGTAACATAGTTCTCTCTACCTCCCACCCTACCCCATCTTCTGTCAGCTGTATCATTGCATATTAGGCATCTTCGTTTTGGAAATTGTTTCTCCTACTTTATGAGAAGGCTTGTGTGGTTTTACATAATCTTATGATTCATACTTTAAATTATGTCTCTTTCAAAAGTATATAGATTGTTTTTAAACCATAATATGTAAAAATTAAGCAGATGTAATTTAAAAAGTGATTTCATCCTCTAGCCTATTAGCTTCTAGCCTATTATATAAATATTTAATTGGGATTCCAGACTCAGATTTGAAACTTAAAACTTAAAGGCCCATTGAGAGGGCAGATAGTTGCATGGTCATTTGTATGATCTCTCTATAGAATATAGAAATGCTCTAGCCCGGGGAACAAAAGCGAGACTCTGTCTCAAAAAAAAAAAAAAAAA